CAAAACGCTGTTATTTGATCCGAATGAGCATTATTCAAAGAAATCATTTTCTTTGGATTAATACTTTTTTGTCTCAGTGTACGATTCAACGAGAATATTAATTTCAATTTCTTTAGTGAAATGTTATTATGAGATCGTTTGCTTCCTTTCGTATTGTTTTCTTTTTTTCAGCAAAAATTGAAAATATTATTGGATATTTTAAAAGTTTTCACATTCGGTGCAACGCTCAGAAATGTCTTTTCAAGCCTAAGGGATTACGCGAGGGATCATCAATTACTCTCAAGCATTTTTAATAAAGTCGAGGAAGGACTCGTCTCAGATTTTAACGGCATTCGTGGACATTGCTGGGAGAAAGGGTGCTTCAAGTGGTCAACCGTTAGCGACGTGTTTGCGTTAAGGTTGTGCAGAGGTTCTTCCTTGAAGAAGAAGCAGGAATGGGTTTCTAGGCAGAAGGGAGCGCGCGAGCTTGCTTCACTTTGATGTGCAATGACAATGGTTCATTTCCGACGAGTGCTGTGCTTACCCCTGACGAACAACCCTTACTCTTTCTACCTAGCACCTTTCTTCTCGCATCTTACACTTATCCTTCTCTTTGATTCTCTTCGTGGACGGTGCCGGTGGCGACCCCGAAGAAGCACGACTCGAAAGTTTTTACTAGAAGCATACATGATGATTTTCATGTCTGTTTCGACATTTTCATATCCGACATGCGATCCCGAGACCTTTTGTTACCGTTGTTTCGAAATGACATGCCCATACACGTTGCAGCCCGTAAGTTGCAAAAAGTAAGGACAACGAAGTTTCCGACTGTATTAAAAAATTAAATATAACGAGATATATTACATGGCCATTCGATTTATGGACTTGATAGAATTTGCAAAGATTTTACGGCGACATCGGATAGTTATAACACCTAATTCGTTATTGATTATTAATTAGTTACGCTGCGGGGGTGACAAGCTTACTGACCAATAAGATAAATGCTTGCCAGACTGTGAAATCGATTGCAAACTCAACGGAACAACAGATTGTTGAGTCCTCGATTATTTACTCATTGAGAATTTCTTCACCGTGACCTAGTAGCCCTGTGTCAACTCATAAGATTTGTTGACAGAAATAAAGGGTGGTACCATGATGTCATATCTAACAATAAAACGATATACCTAAGCAACGTTGACTTCTTAACTTTTTCCTTGCAAGCATTATTTTTGACAAAACGTCTACTCAACAATATACCATCTTCAACCACGCTACCTGAAATTATAACTCTTGCTACAGTTTCATGTCATGCTATCATTTGAGGGATTTATATTTACTTAATAATCTACTAAAATCACAATATCTCACAAATAGAACTGCATTTTGTAAATTCTGTTCGTAATACTTTCCGTTCTGCGTGGAATTACTGTAACTGATCAACGGATGAGCGTTCTGCATTTAATCGAGAATTTTCGAGAACGGTTAAACAACTTCGATACTTATGCAGTAATTCAACATTCTGGTAAGAGCACCGAGGGATCAACTTTTGAATCAGCTGACGTAACTTTGTCAGTGTCAAGTTCCAGGAAAGGGTGTCTGCGTAACGTCGAAGTTAAGGCTGGACCACGTCTGCACCCATTGTCGTGCATTTCGTGGACTTAATGACGGGAGAATCTACTTAACGTTAATTACGCCCTCGCTATCGCCACGATTGCAAGAACCCAGAACATTGCAAGAACCTTTAAGATACTCGGCTCGTCCATCCGTCGCAATTACCGTCGACCAGGATCGACGAGAATGGAGAGCCTGCTTCTCGAATCAGAGATACGCCCCTGGAATCGAAAGGCTCATTTTCCCTCGAGGACCGATAACGCTTTCAAACCGCAAACGTGTCATAATTATGCACCGATAAATCGCGATAATATCATTACTTATGTCTTATGCGTCGTCAGAAAAATTGATCGCGTGTGCCGTAATTACAGATTCCGCTCATGAGTCCAACGATCTCCGTACAATCTCTTGTAACGAACAAAAAAGTACAAGTAACCGTTACAATGCAGTCTCGACTAAGTAGAGAGTACGCCTGACAAGGGGCACAGTATACACCGGCAACTTGATGTTCAACGTTCTACATGTAAATTCGGTTTTTTACAAAGTGTTACATACGGGTAAATTGGATCGGTTGCTACGTTAGCGAGTAATTCAATCCAATTAATGGGTTGGAAGAGGGATACGAGTCATCCATAAATAATTGACAGGCAATGGCTTCGACGGAGAGTCGGTAAATTTAGGTTTACCTTTTTTTTTTCTTTCGGAATAACATTCTACAAATTAAATTATTTTCTACTTTTCAATATTTGGATTTATACAAAGTCTCATTGAACAACGGGCACGCGATCCAAAGAGCCATTGTCCACTGGCGAGGATTTCGAAAAGTCACGACTACGGCGTAGCATTGGATTTTTCTGAATGCCTTCAACATACGGAGCACCGATTCAATGGGGCCCTGCTCCGGCACGTGTCTGAAATAACCCGCGCCGTCTGTATCACCGTTGCAAATAGCGGCCTCCCATTATACGGGGAAACATCCGCGTATCCCGCGTCCGCGGAGGACTTGCTGTGAAATAATTTAATCGAGTCCTCTTTACCAACCTGGTCATCAATTACGGGAAACTGGATTTCGTGTTTGCGGAACGTGCGTAAAGCCCAACATGCGCGGTGGATGTACACAGCGCCGGTAACGCGACTCAGGGTTGGCCGAGGAGGGCGAGGGGCTCGGAATCGCCGTCGCTATGGATTATAATTTCCACGGAGTCCCGCGTTGCACAGCTGCCCGCGCCAAACCATTTTGTGCCCTTCCGGACTTGCGCGGATTCGCTCCGCGAGGGTTACCATGCGGCGAGATGCAAAGTCGTTGCTCGCGATCCCGGGTTTCAAAGGTACCGGTGGGATCCGCTTAATTAACCCATTTGCAATCAATGACGGACGGGGTGGAAGTCGTGCCGACAATCGGAGCACCCGACCGAGCGCTTTTCCAATTTGCAAGCTCGCTCGACGCGAGTCGGTGGCTGATTTCCATCGGCGAGCCTATCGGGACTTAAGATTGCACCGATTTCCCCAATTACGGCGGCTCGGCAAGACGCCCTGGGTGATTGGTCCTTTCGCCAGAGGAGAGGAGTTCTGGCTCGCCGTCTCTTAATTGCGTGACTCCGTTCTTAAGCGGCTCTCAGTGCCCTCGTCGACCTCTCGGAGATCTCCGTTCTGCATTTCTGAGAGACTCCGTTGACTAGTGATCGTAAGGCGTGGTTAGTTTTATTCGATCTTCCTTCGGGCATGACATTCCGTTCCGAGGAATTAACCCTTTCGCGACCGCGGAACTAGCCATCAGGGTATACCGTGCACATTAAGAGGGTCTTGCGCAAAATTGCTAGATATAATTTAGTACTGTTTGCGTATGATAAATTTGAAAAATAACGCGTTTTGTAGATGTCGGATATATCTGGCGCTGGCCAGGGTGAAGCATATAGTGGATGCCGGATATAACCGGCGATGGGCGCAAAAGGGTTAACAAAGCGTTTTATCCGCATGCACCCGGCGATGGCAAAATGTCTGGTTTTCCATTTATCTCGTCATGGATGAATCTCCAGCTCGAGGAATACCATGAGCCAACTGTCAATTTTGACAAACGTGATAAATGTTGCTGGAAAAATGTGGTCCTTTTTTCGGAAGTTTGAAACGTTCAGAGGAGTTATTTTTATTACCCGTTAGAAGATTTCACGATGCTAAGACTTGCATATGTGCCAGGTTAGTCTGTACATTTGTCATCCGTCCTCTTTGAATGAGGATCTCTTCATTTTCTGAACATCTGGTTGGTTAGAGGAGCTGGCAAAAATTTTAGCGGTTACGATGCAAATGGTTTTATTAAAGAAATGAATGGTGATCGAAATCCTGGAATGTTGTGTGGTCTCGCGGTTATCCTCGCGGAATAAGTGTCGATATAAGCCGATGAAGTAGGAAGTTATAAAAATCTGGAGACGGTTTATTTCGTCGTTAGATATTAAATCCTTTCGACGTTTTCAATGTCGGAGCTCCGAAAAAGGCGCGTTTAATTTGTTTGTACTTGTTTAAGAAATTTTCCTTGTTTTTCCTTTAATAGTAGTACTTTCAGAAGGTTTACGAAATCCAGGACGATCGGTTTTAACAAACGAGCTACATTACGTCCCAGGGGATGTAATATAACGGCCGATAATTATTCACACCCTCCGGAGAATTCAATGATGTATCGCGTCCGTACGAATTACGCCGAGCTAACCGTAACTAACCAATTTGTCGTAAAACTGATAAATAATTTATGTCCTTGTTAGGCCGGTTTCTCGGCAGCGCGTAATGATGGCAACGAGAGGTTATCGATCGCTTTAATCGATTACCACCGATAAATCGAACACACCTCCAACGATTCTTGAACGACAGTCCTGACTTTCCGAATAAAACGGAAAGGCATATAGCGTATTCTCAATGTTTTTCCTCAACCCGTCCATAATTAATGCCTTCCTTTCGTTATCTTTATCAGTCATAAATAGCAGTTTCCTGTAGGCGATTACAGAAACGAAAATGTCAAAGATTTCTAGATACATCTACTTTTAATAACTACTTTCGAAAACTAGCGTCCGTAATTAATAAAATCGTCCGATCTCTGCCGATTTTTCGTCAATCCATGCGTGCAACTTATATGAAATCCGAACGTGCAATGAAGAACGCAATTGCCCAGATGTATACAACAATTTTAAGAGCTCTCCACCGCGTCTGACTAAAAATCGCTTTGAAATTATACTGACCAAGGCAACGTCCTACCAACATGCCTCATTCCTTTTCTCGAACAGGGATGCTTTTCCCCAAGACTGAAAAAAAGCTTATTACTTTGTCTCTCTACTCGCAGTACGGACATTCTCCGGAACAAAAGCTAAAAAGCAGGGAGAGAAATATGAGAAGCAACGAGAACGTGAAAGTCCTCGGCGACGGACCTTTCTGTCGTAGTCGTGGTTTGGCACTGCGAACCACGGCAAATCGGCCACGTGGTTCTTGAAGCTTTCCTCGAAGTCGAGGACATCGGCCACGTTGCTCCACAGGACCACGTGAACGACCTCGAGCCTCCTGCTCCTGGGCTTGTTGTTGCCCTCGCCCTCTTCCTGTTTCCTCTCGAGGGTGCCGTTTACGTTTTCGTAGAGCTCCGTGAGTTGGCGCGTGAAGTCGTCGCACGAAGCGCCGGGGTTGACGAAGCTGAAGTAAACACCGATCACCTCGCACGCGGACTTGCCGTCCTCGGTCCTCAGGACCTCGTTGATGTCCTTGGTCTTGGAGTCCTGGTTGACGCGATTGCACTGGAGGAGCTGCTTGCCGAAGACCCGCTGTTGCCAGGAGGCCCTTGGGCCGCTAGCCTCCTTAGCAGGGGCTGTCGACGGAGACGTCTCGGCGCAGGACGCCATTGCACGGTTCTTGCCGTCGACACGGTCTGCGCTCGACTGAAGCCGAGCGAGGCGTCGCGAGGCGTCGCGACGCGGGGCGCCGCGCCATCGCGCCGAAGAGACGCCGCGAACTCCGGGACCCCTTCGGTATTCTACCGAAGACGTATTACGAGGAATTTCGTTTTGTTCTTTCGAGCGAAACTTGTCATTTCGATGATACGGTGTTTCGGGCGGGAATGGATTTTTTGGACGAGAGGGTGTTCCCCCGAAAAGGTGGCGAATACAGAGATTAAACGCTGTGCGGGGAGGGGAAGTGGCATTTTTCAATCTGCTTTTAGGAATTGGAGTATTGCACTGATAGGAAGTAGCGGAAAATCACTTTCTAGGGAAAAAGAAATTCTTTTGTCGAAGAGATCTTTACCGGCTGCTGTCAACAAAGTAACATCAAATGAAATTCAGGTTAATTACAAACGGTAATCAAATTTCTTAAAGTCAGGTTCACTAATTCCGTTTGACTCGTTATCGTAATATTTTCTGGGCGTAAACATGTTAGAAAGGAAACTAGATTTACTTCGGAAAGTGAATGACTTCGACGGAATTAGTAATATTCTTGTTACTACTAGAATTTAAGAGATTGCTAATCGTTGATTTATATCATTAGATGCTTACTTAAATGATGAAATAAAATAGACTTCTTATTCTTTAACGGACTTAAATAACGATATAGTTTACTATTTCTCCAAACGTCCGACGATATTTCTCGTGCTTAGGCATCGTTAAGCAATTATTCCATTATGCGTTGCTCGTGAGAATTCTGGTGCGTTTTTAAGATTCTCAGAAGTACAAGTTTTTCTCACAAAACATTTTTTTTTACCTGCTTGCATGCGTACAATAATTGCGCGATAAAGATGAAGGTATAAAAATGAAATTGGAAATACTCGCACAACTTTTCTTTATTTAAATGATGAAGTCGACGAACGCTTATTTCTTTATATTGGAGATTTTCGAAGCATTTGTCTCGATAACGTTCAAACGGTAATAAACAATCTACTCGGAAAAAGCTACCATGCGTCGTTCAGAGTTGACTTTTTTTTTAACAGAGAACAGACATTGAACACATCTTTGAGAGACTGTGACACGTGTAAACGGATAGATGTGCATTGCGTTCCGTTTGCTTACTTTACCATGCTGCCGAGAATACGCACGTGCGTGCTATAATGGACTCAAGACGAGCTGAACGTGCTCCTGAAATTGACTAGGTTACCTCTAGAATTAGAAATGAAACATGTAAATGTTGAGATCGTAATGATCTACTTACATACACTCGTCAGTTCGGTGGCTACTCACCGTAACGTTACATGGGTTAAGGTAAACATTGGGTTCCTGTTCCCACGTGACTCCATTCCAACGGTTGAATAATTACGAGAATCTACCCTCGGTGCTTCCAATCGACCTGCGTTATAATTGACTATCCAGTACATACAAAAAGAGAGATCTCGTGAAATGCATTTTGTCCCTAATTATAGGAAATAATTAAATAATCACCAATTTTGCCTTAATCTTTTTGGGTGACTTAAACGGATGCGTTATACCTAATAACTCACAGCAACCAGCATTAACTAAAGTTGCTGGATATAGAATTTCTTAAAAATTCCTGCTAGGACAAATATGACAATTCCCCAGAGAAACAAAAGACCACAATTGTCGAAACATTCTCCCTCGCGCATCGAACAATGATTAAGGGAAGTTGTTCCACATTTCAATCAAATACTCTGTCACAAGGAATGTCCAATTCGATAATCGATTCTCTTGTCTCCGGAGCCGGGGTTCGGAAGCTGATTTCGGATGCGAGGGAGCGGTTCACCTTGAGTTCGATCGCAACCTACGGAATTCGAAATACTTATTACGCGCGGTTGTGTCCTACCCGAGGTCCACGTAACGGGTGTCTGTTTGGGAATCGTTTTTCAATAATACCAGTGCAGTTACTCTCATACATCGCGGATTTTAACGAAGATTCTCGGGGTATCGAGCGCGAGGGTTGACTTCGAGCTGAGATCGATTCGTTTACTCGGCGGCGAGCAGTCGCGGAAACCGAGTTACGGTTCCGCGGCGGTAAACGGTTTTTGCCTCGTTTTCGTGTAAATATATCCATATGACTCACGGAGCGTGTCGCTCGCATTCACGGAAGAGCGCGTGTATTCACGGGACGAACGCGTGTATGCAAGTCTCGCGCCGCGTGTACACTTCTTCGCGATAAACGTACGCGATCCCGCGAGGAGTCGCGATACGTGCGCTGGGGCATGTATTAAAGGGACTACGTTCTCTTCGTGTAAATTGCAAAAAGGAAAAATGTTTACCGCTCTCAAACCACCTACCGGGGACCCGGGACCTTTTTATATGTCTGCCCTTGCCTCTCGACCCCTCGACTGGGTTACAGGGTGCTGCAGACCTCCATACGACGCTGTACCTTGCGGATGCAACCTCTATTCTCGGGCACCCTCTTCGAGCTCGAAAATATTCGCCCGCGTTTCATTTTCCAAACGCAAGCCGGCTTTCTACTTGCCTTCCGACACGTGTACGTTGCTATTCCTGAAAATGTCGGGGGTTTATGGAACGGCACATTAACGTGGCCGCTTGGAGCTCATTAATTGTAATTAATCGTTTGAGTGCCACGGGCTATTGGAGAAATCTTATCGAAATGTGCCGAGAGGCGCAATCGAGCTTTTCTAATTTCGCGGCGGAAAATATAGTTTAGTACAATTTCGATAAATGGTAACGGTGAGAACACGTTGACAAAATCTGAGATTGCAGTCAGGTCGGCTTTACCGACCGATGAGGTGGCATGTTTAGACCCTGAAGAGGAGAAGCGCGATCGCACCGTCTGGCATTCGAACGATTAGAATTGACAAAATGATGTGTGAAGTCGATGCCTTTGGTGCAATTGCCGCAGTGCTGAGATCGAAAAGTGTTCAAGATTGAGATTTGAATTCATGTGTTATGAATTCAGAGCTTGGAATAAGGATCAACGACATAGTCTATACAATTAAATATTCATCGATTAAATATACTCAAATGTCATAAATTACACTCTGCAGCTGCACGAAGAACAGACATATTGAACGAAGAATTATAAGCTGCGAGCTGCTAATCGAACCAGAGAAAAATAATTTATAAACGCATGAAACTCCAAACGCTATCGGTTTATCTTTTATGATTACAGCATACAATGGAAATATCTATATTATTCCCCAACCACCTATCAGAGACTCGAGACCTTTTTATCTGTTTAGTTCAGCCCTCTGGTCCCCTCGACGGTTGCATCGCTTTGCTTCTCCCTTGCAACAACCACCTTCCCTTCCGCCTTCTGGTAAACCCTCTGAAAGCTTGCGAATACTCACTCTCGCCTGATTTAATATCCTAATCAGGACTTTATTCTTTCTTTTTTAAATGCATCATGAATGCAGTGCATGCGTGGCCGAGTAATGGATGCATTTACACCGTGAAAAGGAAAAAAAGCAATGCGTTTTACATCTACTGAAGATCTTTGATTCAAAGTTCTACAGTCGCTTCACCCTTGTTTTCCAAGAACCCTGTAAAAGCCTCTCGTGTACGCTACCCGCCGGGCAAGTAATGGATTCATGGAAGTGTCTAGTAGGGCTGGCAGTTTCGTCAGCATCATAAAATATAAGTACTTCATAATAATTCTTTAAAATATATTTTAAGCGACAAATGGAAGAAAATGAATTAACGTTGTAAGCGTAACAAACAAGTATAATTTAACTGAAATAAGATATCGTAATTTTTGGCGCAATGGAACAATGTTCCAGTGAAATTTTGAACTATACTCATAATCAGATATTACATTAATTATTTTTCGTAAAGAAAAGGTAAAAGTTTAATTATAAATAGGATATAAATAGGATAGAATAGCAATGTAATTTAGTGGCCTTACAGCCAATGTTCATAGCAATGCCATATAAATTCATTTAAGCAGCTCTTGAAAAATCATTACTTTTAGGAATAGTTCACTGTACACAACCCTTCCAGGGCATTGCCCCTGTTATCGAACAATGGTGCCACAATTAGAGTTGCCCACTGATTCGATTACTAGTCCGTTCTTTTGGCTTGATTTTCAGCATTTCACTTCCCATCTCTGAACGATTCTTCCAAGCGATTGATTTACGAGCCATCATCACACGCAATTCAGTTAATATACAGGTTCATGTGTATACATATGAATCCACATGTCTATTGATCGAATCGCCAAAGCTGAAAGACCGAGAAACACCTTGCAGGGTAACTCCTAAGCGTCATTCGATTTTTCCACCGCCTATGTGGGGAACGTAATGCAATCGTGGAGGGCACAGCTGGCCAATTTCAACCCCTCCTAAAGTTTCGGGGTCGTTTCCCGTGTTTTATGGCACAAGCTGGGCTTTCGTTTGTTTGCCGGCACTAAATACAAGTTCGTCTACGAATATAACCAACTATAATAATAGTTTGATTCGAGGTGTTCGCCTAGCTTTGCAAAGGTTACAAGCGTTTGAAAAATATTGCTTTAAAATGTTACTTATCATCACAGTTGAATTTAGGACTCGATCAATTATTTATCTATTTTTTTTTCATTATCAAAATTGAATGTCAATACTTTCATAATTGTACGTTTGTATATTCCTATTCTATAAAAAGTGAAATGGACTTGAAATGAGAAAACGGATACCAAATTAACACATCGTAAAGTTAATAGTAGGGTAAAGTTTGTGTTATGGCGTGTATTTAGAATCTATTAGTACTATGTCAAAGGGAACCAAGATTACTTATCGAAATCGAAACATGAGGCTTTTAAGTGAGATTTGCAGTATTCTTCAAAAGTTAATTTTCGTGCCAAAAATGTAGTATTTTGTTCGAAGCATCAAAAGATGTAAAACTGGTCTTTAAATTCATATTATTGAATAATGCAATTTTATTAATTGGGTTTGCATACGTTCCACGAAAGTCAATGAACACAAGATATACCACGCTTAATATTTAAAAATCAAC